CCAAACTAATCAAAAGGCAGAGAGACAGAGCACACTAATTAACTAAATCAAAAATGAAAAGGGGGAAATAACAACAGACACTGAGGAAATACAGAGAAAACATCGGGTCATACTTTGAAAACCTGTACTCCACAAAATTTGAAAATTTAAAGGAAATGGACAATTTTCTGGATAGATATCACTTAACAAAATTATATCAAGAACAGATAAGCATTTTAAATAGACGTGTAAGCCCTAATGAAATAAAAACAGTCAGCAAAAGTCTCCCAACCAAAAAAAAAAACCCAAGCCCAGAATTCTACCAGAAATTCAAAGAAGAGCTAATTCCAATACTCCCCAAAGTGTTCCACAAAATAAAACCTGAAGGTCCATTGCCAAATTCTTTTTACAAGGCTACAATTACCTTGGTACCCAAGCTACATAAGGACACAACAAAGAAAGAGAACTACAGACAAATATCCCTCATGAACATTGATGCAAAATACTCAATAAAATACTAGCAAATCAAATCCAAGAACACATGAGAAAAATCATCCACCATGATCAAGTAGGCTTCATCCAAGGGATGCAGGGGTGGTTCAACAAATGAAAATCTATCACTGTAATCCACCTTATAAACAAACTGGAAAGGAAAAAACACATTACCGTCTCACTTGATGTTGAAATAGCCTTTGACAAAACCAACACCCCTTCATGATAAAGGTCTTGGAGAGATCAGGGATAGCAGGAACATACCTAAACATAATAATATACAGTAAACCAACAGCCTAAAAAAAACTAAATGGAGAGAAAATATAAACGTGTTCCTCTAATATCAGGAACAAGACAAGGCTGTCTGCTCTCTCCATATCTCTTCAATATTGTACTTGACGTTCTAGCTAGAGCAATAAAACAACAAAGGAGATCAAGGAGATTCAAATTGGAAAGGAAGAAGTCAAACATCCACTATTTGAAGATGATATGATAGTTTATATAAGTAACCTAAAAAACTCTACATGGGAACTCCTACAACTGAAAAATACCTTAAGCAAAATGGCAGGATACAAGATTAACTCAAAATAAATCAGTAGCACTATTATATACAGATGATAAAAGGGCTGAGAATGGAGTCAGAGAAACATCACCCTTTACAATATACACAAACAACATAAAATATCTTGGTTTAATGCTTGCTAAACAAGTGAAAGACCTGTATAGCAAGAACTTTGAGTCTTTAAAGAAAGAAATTAAAGAAGACACCAGAAAATGGAAAGATCTCCAATGCTCGTGAATAGGTAGGATCAACATAGTAAAAATGGCTATCTTGTCAAAAACAATCTACAGGTCCAATGCAATCCCTATTGAAATCCCAGCACAATTCTTCACAGACCTTTAAAAAGCAATGATCAACTTTAAATGGAAAAACAAAAGACCCAGGATACTCAAAACAACCCTGTACAATAAAGAAACTTCCAGAGGCATCACCGTCCCTGAATTCAAACTCTGTTATGGTATTGGAACAAAAATATACAGGTAGACCAATGGAATCAAATTGAACACCCTGGCATTAACCCACATACCTACGAACACCTGAGTTTTGATCAAGAAGCTAAAATTATACAATGGAAAAAAGAAATCATCTTCAACAAATGGTGCTTGCATAACTGGATGCTGGCATGTAGAAGACTGCAGATAGATTCATGTCTATCACCATGCACAGAACTTCAGTCCAAATGGATCAAAGACCTCAACATAAATCCAGCACAATGAACCTCTTAGAAGAGAAAGTGGGAAGTACCCTTGAAAGAATTGGTACAGGAGCATGCTTCCTGAACATAGCACCAGGAGCACAGACACTGAGATTGACAATTAATAAATGGGACCTCCTGAAACTGAGAAGCATCTGTAAGGCAAAGGATACAGTCAACAACACAAGAAAGCAGCCCACTGAATGGGAATAGCTATTCACCAACCCTACATCTGACAGAGGTCTGATCTCTAAAATTTACAAGAAGTCAAGAAGCGAGTCTCCAAAACACCCAAGGATTCAATTAAAAAGTGGGGTACAGAACTAAATAGAGAATTCTCAATACAGGAATTTAAAATGGCTGCAAGACACTTAAGAAAGTGCTCAACATCTTTACCCATTAGGGAAATGCAAATCAAAACAACTCTGAGATACCATCTTACTCCTGTCATAATGGCTAAAATCAAAAACACCAATGACCATTTATGCTGGAGAGGATGTGGAGAAAGGGGAACACTCCTCCACTGCTGGTGGGAGTGCCACCTTGTACAGCTACTTTGGAAATCAGTATGGAGATTCCTCAGGAAGTGGGAAGCAGTCTACAAGATTCAGCAATTCCACTCTTAGGCATATACCCAAAAGATGCACATTCATACAACAAGGACGTCTGTTCTATTATGTTCACAGCAGCATTATGTGTAATACCCAGAACCTGGAAGCAACCTAGATGTTCCTTGACTGAAGAGTGGATAGAGAAAATGTGGTACATTTACACCATGGAGTACTACTTAGCAGAAAAAAAAAACAATGGAATCTTGAAATTTGCTGGCAAATAGATGGCAATAGAAGAAACCCTCCTGAGCAAGGTAACCCAGTCACGAAAAGACAAACATGGTATGTACTCACTCATATATGGAATTTAGACATGAATCAGGGGAGTGCCAGCCTACAATCTCACTGCCAGAGAATCTGGGATACAGGGAGGACCCTAAGAGAGATATACTTGGTACCCCAGAGAAGAAGAATGGGACAGGGTCTCCTGAGTAGTTTGGGAGCATGAGGGGAGTAGAGGGGTAGCTGGGAAAAAGAGAAGGGGAGAAGAGGAGGGGAGAGGAGGACATGGGGAATCAGGAAGTTTGAGATGGGTGAAGAACAGAAGAGAATAGAATAAGAGATACCATAATAGACAGAGTCATTATAGGTTTGAGGAGAGATCTTTCACTAGTGTGATTTCCAGAGATATACAAGGATGACACCAACTGGCAAACTAAGCAATTTATCTTAAATAAAAAATAGAATATTTATTATTTCTGGAAATTTTCAGTAGATCAACTAGTAATGTACTTCTGTATCAAATTCAGGGATATGGGGTGCTTATGTAACATCTATCTTTCGTCAATATCTCCTTACTCCCACATGATGAAACAAAGTTTTCAAAGCCACATGCATTGGTAGAATAAAGAAATCACATAATTTCCTCTTCAGCTTATCTAGTCTTATAACAATTGTTTCAGAATAAGAATACAAATACTATTACCACCAACGACTACTGATAATAGTGTGAAATTTGAATAGCTGCTTTTTGTTTTCAAAGTAAATCTCCACAGACATTCATTATCAAATTACTGTGCTTTGAAGTTATATGGACAATTTTCTCCCTGCTATCAACCACTTATACTAATTATTCTTTGATAGGTAATACTATGTAACTGAATTTTTCGTTTATTTATTTTTAAAATTTGGATTATCATGAAATATTTGATTTATGACATTTTAATAAATGTGTATGATTTTGATTTGATTATATTTGTTGTTGTTTCTCTATTTTTCGTTATCCCTCCCCTACTGGTTATCACCTTTTTCACCTCAGATATTGTTTATAAATGTATATTAATCTACATTCTATATCAGAGAGATACTATAGCTGTTTTCCCTCCCACCAATCATTCTTGTTCTCAGTTTCTTTTGCCTTTATAGCCTTTCTTCTCTCCAAATAATTCCTTCTATTTTCTTGTCATATTCTGTTTATGAGGAAAATTACAACTTTTGTCTTCTGAGTCTGGCTTATTTCAATTAGCACAGTTCTATCAATTTTCAGAAAATGTTAGTTTCATTTTTAATGGATAAATAAAACTCAATTTTGATTCTGTTATAATTATCACATTTTCAGTCTCTATTCTTCTGTTGATGAACGTTCTAAGTTGATTTTATTTCCTGGGTATTATGAATGGGACAGTAATAAAGAGAGATATGCAAGTATTTCTGTATATTATGAATTATCACACAATTATGACTACCCCCACAAATGGCTATTTAGATTTCTTGAGCTACATAATGAAGAATGGTATAACTATATGTATGTATATATGTATGTATGTATATATGTGCATTTCTATATTTGTATCTATGAGATAGGTTACTACAGTTGACAGTGTCAGAGACAAAAGGAAAGACATACATTCCTTTTTTGCTAATATTGTCAAATTTCCATTAGAAGAGTTATATTTTGTATCCCCATAGAAGAATTGATAACATTTTCATTTTCTTTGTGTGTTTCTGTGCTTCATCTGCAACTCAAAGCCAATAGTCAGTATTGATATGTGTGGTATACTGGGGCTATAAAGTAGGGCTGTTACATAAATACCTAGGAAACCTGTTCTAAAGATTAAATAAGTAAAATAACAAGTTAAACGTGTGTGTGTGTGTGTGTGTGTGTGTGTGTGTAGTGTATGTGTGATTCCTAGAACATAGCACCCACTGAATAAATGTTAGTTATAGCTGCTATCATGTTAATACATTACTGTCAGAACTCTGTAAAGTGGATATTTTCATGAAACAGAGAATGTATAAGGAAATGGATTCATAGAGAGGTTAATTTTTTTACTAGATTATACAGTCAAAAGGATAGATCTGAAACTCAGGGCTATCTGCCCAAAATGAGTCTACTATTAGCAGGGGTGTTTCCAGTATAGAAATTCTCTCTAGACTTTGTGTTGGATGAGCTGGAGATAGGTAATTGGGCATAATCCAGATTCCAATTACATTCCAGTCTCTTGCTTTGGCACCACACAATTATTCTAAAACTGATCTGCTACTTTCCTGCTAAACCAGCATTCTCCTTGTTGCATTATCCTACCTGTCCTTGGATGCAGAGACAAGAATAAGTAGGTGGTTGACATTTTCTATGTGTAAATGGAGAGTTAATTTTCTGATTTCCAGGTCATTTTATAATTCTCAGTAGAGAAGATTTTCTTTCTTGATTCTTGATCTCCAGGTCTGTTGTTGTCACATGGTCACCTCAATCAGACCTTTTCCAGATATTGGCCACCGAGACAAGGCAAGTAAGTGCATACTTCATTTTTGTTATAAATTATTTTAAAGTACTTATCAATTATGACTATACCTAGACATTCTTATAAGATTTTTTTCTGTTTTTCAAGACAGAGTTTCTCCTTATTGTTTTGGAGGCTGTCCTGGAACTTGCTCTGTTGACCAGGCTGGCCTCAAACTCACAGAGATCTGCCTGCCTCTGCCTCCCGAGTTCTGGGATTAAAGGTGTGTGCCACCAACGCCGATTATTCTTATAATCTTTTATCTTATCTTGTAACATAGGATTTAAGTTTTTAGCACCTTAAACTTACCAAATCTATGTGATCCCTTTATTTATTTATTTATTTATTTATTCATTTATTTATTTGGTTTTTACGAGACAGGGTTTCTCTGTATTGTTTTGGAGGCTATCGGTCCAGCCTGGCCTCGAACTCACAGAGATCCGCCTGCCTCTGCCTCCTGAGTGCTGGGAATAAAGGCGTGCGCCACCACCGCCTGGCTATGTGATCCTTTTATAAAAGACATATAAAATTATAAATTCAAATTTTGATGTGTTCCTTCCCATCCCAAAGTCATGCTCAAATCTACTCAGACCTGTCTTCCCTCTACCTCCAGATAGAGCTGTTCCTTACCACCAGAACATCTAGGACATCTCTCTTATTAACCAGGTATGCTTAAGTCCTTCTCACCCTGTAGGGGTTTCATGTCTTCTGTGATCTTCCTTCTCTGAACTGCGGGGTAGGGATCTCTCTACATAACCCCATAGGCTTCCTAGAAATTCCAACATCTCAACTCCACGTGCTATCAAACCACCAAAATTCTCTGGAATTTCCAACACCATATTACTTTCCACATTGTAAGTGGCCTGTTTCTCTAGGATCTTAATATCTAGTACTCATCATAGGCCTTGTCACTCCTGACCCCACAGTCTTCCTGACTGCACACCTGTTTTACCAAGATCTCCTGTCCTCAACTGCCACTTGACCAGAGATTAGTCAAGATACAGCAAACAGATTTGAATATCCATACCAGAAGGTATCTAAGGAGAAGACTAGCAAGGGATGTGCTTAATCCTGGGGAGTGTATATTTATCAGATAGCTGTAGATGCTCAAAGGAAGACTAAGATAGATACTGTAGCCCTCAAAACTATTCCCCTGAAAGAAAACAATGTCTCAATCCTCTAACTAAATCCTCTTAGAAAATTATACATAACTACACTGAAATTAGAAAGGTGATTTGAGGAAAAGCAAAGACATAGCTAACAAATTACTTCAGATTCACAACTCTAAGCACAGAAACAACAGTGACATGAAAAAAACCACACAAGGCAGCATGCTTCCCTTCACAATGAATACTCCCACAATAATGGACCTAAATGAGAATTGCCTGGGAAATCTTCCAGTCAAGGAATTCAAAAATAATTATTATAACTATGTTCAAAGAAGACAAAAACAAAGAAGACAAAAACAAAGAAGACAAAAACTAAGAGCTGAATGAAACAAGAAAGTCAATCCAAGATACAAAAATAGATTTCAATGAAGAAATAAAATTACTGAAGAAAGCCAAAGTGAAATGATGCTGGAAGTGAGAAAAAGTCAATGCAAAGCCTTACCAACAGACAGGACCACATGGTAAACAGTGTCTATGGGGTGAAATACAAAGTAGAGGAATTAGATCATCAGTAAAGGTCAATGGGTAATTTAGAAAATTAAATAAACATAAAAGATCTTGGGAAACCATGGAAAGATCTAACATTTTAATTAAGGGCATAAAAGAGGGAGAAGAATACCACAGTGAATTCATGAATATTGTCAACAGAAGACAATTTCCAAAACCTAGAGAAAGTGTTATAAGATGCCCACAGAACACAATCTAATATATAGGAGCAGAAAAGAAACACCTCATGACATATTACTGTTCAAATATTAAAAGTACAATATATAGGAAAGGAATTGAAAGATAAAAGAGAGAATTGTCAACTCACTTATAAAGCCAAGTCTATTGGAATAACATCTGATTATTTGTCAGAAAATTTTAGAGCCAGAAGTGACTGAAACTATGTTCTACAACTGTCAATCAAAAGTGTTATACCCAGTAAAACTATCTATTACAATTGAAAGAGAAATACATTTTCCATGATAAAAAACAAATAACAGCTGGGAGGTACTGGTACCTTTAATGCCAGCACTTGGGAGGCAGAGGAAAGAGGATCTTGTGTGTTTGAAGCTAGCTTGGTACAGATCAAGTTCCAGGAGAGCTAAGGCTACACAGAGAAACTCTGTCTTGAAAAACCATAAACAAACAAACAAATAAAAAACACAAGAATAAAAACCCAAACAAATAAACAAAAAGCAAGAAAATATCAAAGGAATTTATGTCCACTAACCTATCTCTACATAGAATACTTGTGGTAGTTTGTATGTGAATGATGGAGGATATCCTTCCATATATATGTTTCCCTTATTGGTTGACGAATAGAACATTGATTGGCCAGAATCCAGGCAGGAAGTATAGGGGAACTACCAGACAAGGAGAATTCTGGGGAGAGGATACAGACAGAAACTGCAAGAGAGATACCATTTAGCTGCTGAAGGAGTACCTAGTCCAAACATTCTCCAGTAAGATAAGACCATGTAGAAATACATTGATTAATAGTTATGGGTTAATAATTGAGAGAGCTAGCCAGCATGAAGCCTGAGCCACAGATCAAACAGATTAATTAATATATGTCTCTGTGTTTATTTGGGGCTACATGGCTGTGGGACCAGGTGGGACAGAAATTCCATCTACAACCAAAAGTGTTATACACAATAAAGTGATCTACTAAAATTGCAGGAGAAATAAAAGTTTTCATGATAAAAAAAACAGCTGGGTGGTAGTTGTGTCTTTAAACAAAGAACTCAGGAGGCAGAGGCAGGAGGTTATCTGTGTATTTGAGGCTAACCTGGATTACAGATCAAGTTCCAGGACAGCTAAGGCTACACTGCGAAACCCTATCTAGAAAAACCAAAAATAAATAAATAAATAAAAACAAAAACACAGTCTCCCTAACAAATGAAAATTTAAAATCCCAAAACAAATCAAAGGAATTTGCAATAACTAACCCATCTCTACAAAGGATACTTGTGGTAATTTGTATGTGAATGATCACTTAGGCTCACATATTTGAATACTTGACTCCCAGTTGGTGAAATTCTTTGGAAAGGATTAGGAGCTGTAACCTTACTGGAGATGTGCCACTAAATGTGGGCTTTGAGATGTCAAAAACTCAAGCCATTTCCAGTAAGCTGTGTCTTCCTCTTATTTGCAAATCAAGATGTGAGCTCTCAGCTACTACTCTGGTATCATGTCTCCATACCTACTGCCATTCTGTATGTCATGATGTTATGGACTCACCCTCTGTGCTCTAAATCCCCATCACTCGATTTCTTCTACAAATTTGGTCATAGTGTCTCATCACAGGAGTATAAAAATAACTAAGACAGGTATTGTTACCAGGGAGTGAGCTACTTCTATAGTAGGCCTGACCATGCTATTTTTGGAGGAATGTAAAAGAACTTTAAGTCTTGGACAAGGAAAGCTGTTGAATGCTTAATAAGCCATCATAGTAGGAACATGGAAGATAATAATACTGAGAGCAACATTGACTATGGAGGACCAGCTTATCTATGAAAATGCTACAAATTAATAGTAATTTCATACTGAGTATAGAGGCATTCTTTTAATTTAGAAAAACTGATACAGTCCATTTCCTGTATACAAATTTTCTATTTTCTAGTAAGTTCTTTTGTCTGAATGTTTAGAATTCAGAACAATGGACAAAGCAGCCAGCATCATTGACCAACATTCCTAAGAGAGAGAGAGAGAGAGAGAGAGAGAGAGGAATGGAGGGAGGGAGAGAAAGAGAGGGAGAGAGGAAAGGAGAGGGAGAGAGCCCACCTGTACCCATTGGAAGAAGAGATGGGAAGGCAACAATATAAGAACACATCCAACAGCAGAAAGACTTTATGACACCACAAGAATCTGTAGATTCTACACCAGCAAGACCTGAACATCCCAAATGCAGAAGAAGAAGAAGAAGAAGAAGAAGAAGAAGAAGAAGAAGAAGAAGAGAATAACCTTAAAAACAGCTTCATAAAGATTATAGAGATGCTCAAAGAGGATTGAGAAAATACCTTAAAGAAATTTAAAAAAGGAAAAAATGAAAGAAATCAACAAATCTCTTAAGGAAAGCAAGAAAAGCCAAGATAAAACAATGAAACAGATGAAGGACACAATTCAAACAGTTCAAGACCTGAAAACTGAAATAGACACTAAAGAAAACACAAACTGAAGGATTGCTGGAAATAGAAAAGCTGGGTAAATGATCAAGAACTATAGATGCAAGCATAGCTATCAGAATGTAAGAGACGGTAAAGAGAATCTCAGGCACTGAAGATAAACTAGAGGAAACAGATTCATCAACCAAAGAAAAGTTTAAGTCCGACAAATCCTTAACACAAAATATCCAGGAAACATGGGACACTGTGAAAAGACAAAATCTAATAATAATAGGTATAGAAGAATGTGAAGAAACCCAGCTCAAAGGCACAGAAAATACATTCAACAATATCATAGAAGACAACATTACCAACCCAAAGAAGGACATGCCTATGAAAGTACAAGAAGCTTACTGAACACCAAATAGACTGGACTAAAAAAAAAGTCTCCTCACCACATAGTAATCAAAACCCCAAACATACAGAGTAAAGAAAGAATATTAAAAGTAGTGAAGGAAAAAGGCCAAGTAACATATAAATGCAGGCCCATCAAAATTACACCTGACTTATACATGGAAACTCTGAAAGCCAGAAGGTCCTTGATAGATGTTCTACAAACACTAAGAGACCATGGATGCCATCCCAGACTACTATACACAGCAAAACTCTCAATCACTATAGATAGAGAAAACCAGATATTCCATGACAAAACCAGTTTTAAACAATACATATCCACATACCCAGCCCTACATAAAATTCTGAAAGGAAAACTCCAATCCAAGGAAGTTAACTACGCTCACAAGAACATAGACAATGTATAATCACGCTTTACCAAAGGACAGAAATAGGGGAAAAACTCACATACAATTCCACCACCAAAACAAATCCAAAACAAACAAGAATAAACAATCAATGGTCATTAATATCCTTCAATATCAATGGCCTTAACCCACCTATAAAAAGACACAGGCTAACAGAACGGATACAAAGACGGATTCCATCATTCTGCTGTATACAAGAAACATACCCCACCTTCAAAGTCAGACTGTACCTCAGAGTTAAGGTTTGGGAAAAGATTTTCCAAAAAAATGTCCCTAAGAAGCAAGATGGAGTAGCTATCCTAATATCTAACAAATTAGACTTCAAAATAAAATTAATCAGAAGAGATGAAGGTCATTTCATAGTCATCATAGGAAAAATCCATTAAGGTGAAATCTTAGTGCTCAACAGCTATGCACCAAATGCAAAGGCACCCACATTCCTTAAAGAAACATTACTAAAACTCAAATCACATATTAAACCACACACACTTATAGTGGGAGACTTGAACACCCCATTCTCACCACTGGACAGGACTACCAGACAAAAACTTAACAAAGAAACAAAGGAAGTAACAGAAGTTATGCCC